AGTTTCCAAGAAGGACTCGTTAAGGATTGTCTTGGCATTGGTGGCTCATTACAATTTAGAGCTTCACCAAATGGATGTTAAAACTGCCTTTCTAAATGGTGATTTAGAAGAAGAAGTATATATGGACCAACCAGAAGGGTTTTTTACCACAGGAAAGGAACACTTGGTGTGTAAATTAGAAAAGTCAATATATGGACTTAAGCAAGCTTCTCGACAGTGGTACATTAAATTTGACAGTATTATTACATCTTATGGTTTTGTAGAAAATACTGTTGATCGGTGTATCTACATGAAAGTCAGTGGGAGCAAGTTTGCTATTTTGGTCTTATATGTTGATGACATTTTACTTGCTGCAAATGATAAGGCCATGTTGCGTGATGTTAAAGTATTTCTTTCCAAGACCTTTGAAATGAAAGATATGGGTGAGGCATCCTATGTGATTGGAATAGAAATATTCCGAGATAGAACACAAGGATTATTAGGATTGTCTCAGAAAGGATACATTAACAAGATCTTGGAAAGATTTAAGATGTATAAATGCTCTCCGGGAGTGGTTCCAATGCAGAAAGGAGACAAATTAAGTTTAGCTCAATGTCCCAGAAATGAACTTGAGCAAAAGCAAATGGAAGGAATACCTTATGCAACAGTGGTTGGATGTTTGGGATATTTACAGACTTGTACTCGGCCAGACATCAGCTTTGCTGTTGGTATGTTGGGTCGATATCAAAGTAATCCCGACATAGAACACTGGAAGGCTGCGAAGAAGGTTTTAAGATATCTACAAGGCACGAAAGATTACATGCTTACATATAGGAAGTCAGATCCACTTGAAGTGATTGGCTATTCTTATTCAGACTATGTTGGGTGTGTAGATACGAGAAAATCTACATTTTGTTATTTGTTCCTATTAGCTGGAGGAGCAGTTTCTTGGAAAAGTGCGAAGCAGTCAGTCATCGCTACTTCCACTATGGAGGCAGAATTTGTGGCATGCTTTGAAGCCACAAATCATGGACTATGGCTGCGGAATTTGATCTCGGGGCTTAAAGTAGTCGACAGTATTTCTAGACCTTTGAGAATTTATTGTGACAACTCCGCAGCAGTGTTATTATCTAAGAATGACAAGTACTCTAAGGGTGCTAAGCATATGGAATTGAAATACTTGTCAGTTAAAGAAGAAGTACAGAAACAGAGAGTGTCAATTTGGCATATTAAAACTGAACTTATGGTTGCTGATCCTTTGACCAAAGGTTTAGCGCCGAAAGTCTTCTCCTGTCATGTGGAGAGTATGGGAATTTTGGATAGAGCCTTGTTATCATTGTAATTTTGGTTTTCAGTTTTATGATATATTGACTCCGTTGAATTCAATTAATGTTATATCTCTGTTTGCACCTATGGTTGTCAGTATCGAAATTAAAGTTGACCTATGATGCATGGAAGGGAACATGTTGTTCAAATAACGTGCGACCGCCATGATCTAGCTAACTTTAATTTGAGTAAAGGTTCATTGATGTTTTGGGATATTTCGCGAATTAAAGTTATCCTAATGCATCAACGATACACATGGACCAAGTGGGAGAATGTTAGAATATTTTATTCTAATGTTATTGTGGTCCATGTATTAAAGTGGTCTGGACAATTAAAATCCCGTTGTGATAGGTAATGGGAATAAAATATGTAACGGATCAAGGGGTTATTACTCCCCTCTCTTTGGCTTTCAATAAGGCTATTTAAGCCTACTTAATATTTGGTTTATGGCCATTATTGCCATAATTCCAATAATCAATATTGGAATGTAAGTTATGTAAAGAAGGCAATATAAAAGGGCATAAGCATTTTCCTATCCTATCATTGTGAAAACTAACGTGAAAGACCAGAGGGAAAAGTATTCTGAAAAACACTCTACAAACTTGCATAAAGAAGTTGTGAAGAAGAAAAGGTTGAAAGCTTCATCATTCTCTCATGGAATCAGGTTAGTACTTTAACGCTTCCGATTAAAGTATTGGTTAAATCATTCCATGCCTATTGTTATAGTTTTACACAAGCTGCATAACTATGGTTCTCTGTCCTCTTTCAAACGGGAGGTCATAGATTTGAATTCCAGTGAGGGTAGGGTAATGACTTTTTGTGCTTTAAATAGGTTAAGAAAGTATATATGGACATATACTATATTGTAACAGAGTTAGTAATACTAAAAAAATATAAATAATTATAACACTTATCATAAGTCATGTTATATTATGCTACGTTTTTGTGTAAACACTACTGAAATTTCTAAAATTTTCGACCACCTGGAAGTGATCTTAAATCAAGTTGAAAACCTTGTTCCGACCACTTTTGGTATCCGGAAAAACCCTTGTTACTATTTCCGACCACTTTTTACTTTCAACTTGATTTAAGACGATCACTTTTAGGTGGTGGTCGGAAATTCAATAATTTCCAGTAGTGAAATAATATTTTATAAATTTTACTTGTAAATAATATTTTATAAATTTCACTGTATTTTTATAATGAGGAACGGAACGGTAATGTTAATGTTGATACAGAGCTTCCGAATTCGTAATTCGTTTTTATTGGCTGGTATTCTAACGAATCATTCATTTTTACGAGCCAAAATAAACGAAAGGAAAAGAACTGACATAACTACATAAGTGCTGAGGAGGAAGGTCATACATTCTTCTCCGTATTAGTGGAATCTCTGTGGTGGTTTTTGTGGTTTTTTTTTTAGGCCAACAGGAGAGAGAAAGAATGGAGTCACAGAAAAAAAATAAAATAAAATAAAATAAAATAAAAAAGACCTTTTTACGTAGAAATGGTAATTTCAATATGCTCTGTAGATATTCATCCCATATAAATCATGTTTTTTAAGTGGTAGTGAGTGGGGTCGAGTGTGGGTCTTAAAAAATTAAATCCAATGGTGAGTTGGGTTAGATTCGAATTTTATGTACAAAACTTGTTTAGAACCCATTCAGTGACCCACTATATGTATATATATATGACAAATTATATTGTGCACCAGGACGCACAATGCATTGTGTATCCTTACCCAAAACGACGTCGTTTTGTACATTTTTGTGTGTCTGCTGTTAACTCTTTAAAAAAAATTATGTTTTGAATGTACAAAATTGTATAATAGAATACACAGAATTTTATACCTGAAAACACAGATTTTTATAATTGAATACACATAACCTTTTTTTAAAGGATAATACACATAATCTAACATAATACATAATATACATAAACTCTTAGCATAATACACATAAACACTTAACTCTTTAAAAAAAATCCATGTTTCGAATGTACATAATTATATAATAGAATGCACAGAATTTTATACCTGGAAACACAGAATTTTATACCTGGAAACATAGAATTTTATAACTGAAAATTTCATGTTTCGAATGTATAGAATTATAGGAATAAGGGTCAAATAGGCCAATGAACTACACACCAAACTGCAATTAGGCCATCGAACTCAAAAAAAAAAATGCAATTGGATCTCTGAACTACACAAATTAATGCAATTAGGTATAAAATGACTTGTTTACCTAATACTTTGCCGACGTGGAGGTTGTGGATTTTAAATAAAAAATTAATTAAAAAAAAAAAAAAAAACAGAACAACCGGAGACGATTTCGTCTCCGGCCGCCCTTCGTCTCCCTGGCCATGGAGACGAAGAGACCTTCCTCCATGGCCAGGGAGACGAAGGACGGTCGGAGACGATTTCGTCTCCGGCCGTTCTGTTTTTTTTTTTTTTAATTTAAAATTAATTTTTTTTAATTATTTTTAAAAAATTCGCAACCCACATGTCAGGTAAATAGGTCATTTTAGACCTAATTGTATGAATTTGTGTAGTTCAAAGACCTAATTGCATATTTTTTGAGTTCGATGGCCTAATTGTAATTTGGTGTGCAATTCAATTGCCTATTTGACCCTTATTCCAAAATTATATAATAGAATGCACAGAATTTTATACCTGAAATTAACAAAACGACGTCGTTTTAGGAGGCGGAGGCGCACATTGCTATGTGCGCCCTGGTGCACGTACGATATAACGATTGGTATATATATATATATAGAATAAAATAAATACTAGTATGCACTTAATTATAAAAGTTCCTAGAACTTTTAATAACTTTTTACTATTGTTACTTCTAAACTAATAAGTTTATTTAAAAAAACTTAACAATTTAGTTATTATATTTGACTATTTCTATTATTTTATGTTTTAATATTTTTTTTGAATGCTATTAACTCTATTACAATGTAGTATGTGTTCATAACTACTTTCTCAACCTACGGAAGCACAAAGAGCTAATAGCGTCTCCACTGAGGCTCTCCACAACCTCCCATGTGGGAGTTCAACTTGATGTCATTAGATCACAAGGTCCTTGGGTTATGTTTTAATATAATTAGTGAATTTCATTATTTTATTATATGTAAGTTATTTAAATATTATTTTTAATTTTTTTAATAAGATAATAAGTGGTGGATAATCGTAGTAGACACTTGCATGCACCTGATGAAGTGGGGGTGGATTTTGAAAAAGTTCACCTGATGCGAGTCGTGGGCAAGAGTGGGTGAGAAAAATATAAGATGGGTCGAGTGATAGATGTAGCTCTCTCCAATCCACACCTAATCCAATTCCTATTTTTATGTGCCTAGCATACACGCGCTATGCTTGGCGCGTCAGTACGGTGCGTGGAACGCCGAATGTGTGATTTACACGTTAGATGCCTCTCTCCTGAAACCCACAAAATTTTTTGATTTATTGAAAAAAAAAATCAAGAAAAAATCATGTTACTTATCAGTGCAATAGACCTTGTTCTAGTTTTTTCTCTATAAAAAAGCAAGAAAAAATGCCCTTAGATAAAATACAACTCCAATTCCGTCCTAAATAAATTAGTCAGCTTATTGATTTATTAAGAATATTCACATATAGTAATTGTATTCTCATATATTAATTGTGACTAAAAAATCAACACTCCTCATTGTACTAATTTACCATTGTACATCTGGAACACAGGGATCGTAAATCTCAATCGCAATCCAACGAAACATAATAGGCTGAGGCGTTATCTTCAGTCAACAATCGAACTGAAAGCGGAAACGGGGAGGATCTTGCTGTTCATTTGGTACGTACTGAAACCACCCATCTTTCAAACCTTCAATCTTTAAATCTATTAATCGCTATTGTTTGACTTGCTTATTTTTATACCCGTGTTTGTTATCGTGTCTATGGTCTATTAGTACTATCAATCAACAAAGAGAAAGAATTGCTATGGATAAAAGATTTCAAATAATTTATTTTCTTGTAAGCTAATTGATACTATTATATCTAGTACTCTGATTCTTCTTCCCAGAATTTACAAGCATGGCTTCTTCACATTCAACGGACAACTGCCTCGGATGGGCTGACAGAGATCCGTCCGGAGTTCTCTCTCCTAATAATTTTAGCTGCAGGTACACCCAACCTCTTTCATGAGTCCCCTCAAAGCCCCTTCCCTTCATTGTGGGCTTGTTTGGTAAAAAATTGGCCTATAGGCCAATTTTAGCTTATTTGACCACTATTAATTGTTTGATTTAGTTAAAATATTAATATAAATGTTTGGTTAATTAGCTTTTTGCAACTCCAAAAAGCTAAAATTAAAAAAGCTACTCCTAGCAACTTTTTCAATTAGCTTTTGAGAAAAAAAATTATACCAAACAGCTATCAGCTAACAGCTAATTTACCAAACACTTTTTTACAATCAGCTAATGTTATCAACTATTTATACTCTCTAATTAACACAATCAGCTAACAGCAAACAACTATCAGCTAACAGCCATTTTACCAAACAGGGCCTGTATCAATCCACCCACTTTGTCATTGTTGAGCATATGTGCAATCCAACTACCAGTTAGGCTTTGTAGTTGAAATGAAGCACAACCCCGGCCAAAAAATCATGAGTTTGAAGTTTTGTGATCCAACTATCAGCTTAGACTTTTAGTTGAGATGGTGCTTCAATTGTCATGCTATCTTTTGACTGATTAGTCATAATTCTTTTCTTCACTGGTTAATGTTGATAGGGTTGTTGGGAGTGATGATGTTTCACTAGATATTGCATATTGTGGCGTCTATTATGCTGATGTTATCTGGACAAGGAATATACATGGAACATCCAAGTACCCTTTAGTGCCTGGGTATGATGCCTAGGGGTGTTAGCGAATAGAGCGGCAAACTACTTGTGTTCGTGTTCGGTAAGCGTTCGTTTATGTTCGTTTGTTAAGGTAAACGAACATTAACAAACAAAATTTAGAGCTCGGTTAATAAACGAACAGAGATTGAACAGTTGAAAGCTCGTTTGCTAAGAGATCGTGAACAAGCTCGTTTGTGTTCGTTTACTAATGTTCGTGAACAAGCTCGTTTATGTTCGTTTAATAATGTTCGTGAACAACCTCGTTTGTGTTCGTTTAATATGTTCGCGAACATGTTCACAAACATATATATTATATTATATTATATTAGTTTTGTAGTTGTGTTGTTTGTTTGATTATTGTTCGTGAACGTAGATTATTTATTATTTACGAACGAATTATGATCATGAACATGTGCAAGTGTTTGTTTATTAAGTGTTCATGAACGTAAATGAATATGTTCGTGTACGTGCTTGTTAATGAACATGTTTGTGAACGTGTTTGTTAACGTTAACGAACACGTTTGCGAATGTGTTCACGAACGTTAACAAACACGTCCGCGAACATGTTCGTTAACATTAACGAACATGTTCGTGAACATGTCTGCGAACGTTAACGAACATTAACTGTGACACCCCGTAAATCCAAACTCTAATCAAGGATTAATTAGAGAAGTAATCCTAGTCTCTTTGTTAATTTATTCTTAAAAATCCTGAAATTCAATAGTCGAGGGACTAGATTTTGACTAGTCACTTAAGTCAAAGGGTTGTACCTTGTGCTTCTTCAGTTGTGCCCTTGTTCCCTTGTCTTTCCAACTTTAGTAAGGGTAGGAATGTCTTTCTACCTATGGTTTGTGGTTCAAGCTAACCTAGCAACACTCCTTCATTTCATTCACCCTACAATCTAAACACAAAAATCTCTAGATTCTCTCTAAAAAGGTGTAACTTCTTCTCCAAGCTAGGATTTGAGCACCCAAGTCTTGCAAGTTTGTCTCCCAAGATTCCTACTTTCTTCATCTTGAGCATAGGGGAGGGTAAGATCCTTGGTCTTTTGGTGTTTTTAACCTCCTTTTAGGTGTTTTTTTTTCTAAAGATAGAATCTTTGTTGTCTTTTGGTTTGTGTATGAAGTTGGTGTGGAAGAGGAGCTTTAGGAAAGGCTTTCTAAGGGTGAAAAGAAGAAGTTATTAGGCTACAAAGGTAACTCATGCTTTACAAAACCTATTTTCTTACTTATATGATGATTCTTAGCTTCTACTTGTGATTCTTGTGTTGATTTGTGAGATTTGATGCATTGTCTTGTGTAATGCATGTTTAGAGCTTGTTCTTAGGGTTCTTGAATGTCATTGCTTGGCTATTTCTTGGGTTCAAGTCATATTGTTGTTTTGTGTGAGATTTTGGGTGTTTTGGACTTGTTGTTGAAAATCCCCGAAGGGAATTGTTGGTGTACAGGTGTGTACCCGCGGGCGGAACGGCGGGCAGGGCCCTACCCGCCGCCCCACCCACGGGGTACGTGGTTCATCGTGAGCATGTACCCGCGGGCGGAACCGCGGGTGGTTGTCCACCCGTGGCCCCACCCGCGGGGAACAAGTATGGTTGTTGGCGGGGATTTGTTCTCCGTGATTCTTTTGACTCGGTATTGATGTTTTGACCTCCCGATGTTGTTTTATTGGGCTATTTGTGAGTCTTCTTGATGTTTCGTATGTCTAGAACGGTATGTTAGGAATCCATGTAGGATTTGGTGTCTTGAATCGTGCTAAGGGTCCGACTTTGTGATTCGTTGGACTATTGTGAGTCTTGAATGTTCTTTGGAACTACTTTTGGTTTACCCGCTTGATAAGCATGCTAGTTTGATGTTGAAATGCTAGTATGTGTGGTTTGTTCTTTCCTATTGGGATTGGCAACTTGTGTTGACTATCGTTTGGTGTTGGATTGTGATCTATCGTTGTTGAGTATGGTTTCATGTCTCAGTTGTGATCTCTTGATTGATTCTTATGATGTGAACGTATGTAATCGTTGTACCCTTTGATTGATACTTGATTAAGGTTATTGTGGAATCTTAGTCTTCTTGGTAATGATGATGACTTGTGTGAGTATGATTTATATGTTGGTGGTTGTTACTTGAGCTTGGCTCACATGGTGGTGGTTGTGTGAAATGAATCGTACCATCGTGTACTGATATGTTGGTGGAAATGTTGGTGGTTGTTGGTGGGGGGACGACGGTTCCCGAAGGCATAAGGTTGGACTCAAAAGTACAGGGGTTACTCGGAGGTAATGGTTGGAACTGAAATAAGGCCGGGGGTAGCCATAAGGTTGGAACAGGGCATAAGGTTGGAACTTGGAACTTGGAACTACGTTACTTGTGACATGTAGTTGTCACTGCGGCATGTAGTTGTCGTTATGTGAATGTGTAATCTTTGCTCATGAGCATGTCTCGATGTATTCTACTTTGTGATCAGTAGAATGCATCTTGAGTTGTTTTGTCTTTCATGTTTCTTGTCTTGTTGTTGTTGTAAGGATGGTGATTCCTTTTCCTTTTGAGAGTGTTAATAAGTCTTTGAAGTTGACTTCTCTCTATGGCTTTTGAAATGATATATATTGTATTCCGTTTCAAAATGGTTTTGACTTATACTTATCTATATATGCTATTTAACGCGTATTGATGGTTTACAAGCAATGTTCGCTAACCGGGTGTTATCCCCATGTTTTTCCCTTGTTCCACAGGTTGTGAGTAGATGCCCGAGAGCGCTAGACTTGAATCGATAGATAGCTTAGTTACCTTGTCTAGACGTTATGTTTTGATGCCCTGTGAGCCTTTTGAGCGGCCTGTGTGCCTTGACTCTTTATGACTTGTTGAATTGATTAGGTTTCCCGCCTGTGCACCTATATATGAGATAGGTGTGACATAACATACCCTGGTTTTATATAGCTTCCGTTGTTTTATGTCTTGATGATTAGATGTTTGCATGTGCATTTAAGTTTTACAAATGTGGTAAAAATCGGGAGTGTTACAATAACGAACGCTTAACAAACGAACATGAACAGGATTTTCAAAAACCTTAACAAACGAACACGAACACGAACACTCCAAATTTCTTAACAAACAAACACGAACAACCTTCGTTCGTTTATGTTCGGTTCGTTAACAGCCCTAATGATGCCTTTATCATAAATTAATGACAATTTGATGCTCTTTTTTTTTTTTTATCTTCCTCTTCTTTTGAATTTATATTTATTTGGTTTCTCTACTTCCCAGACATGAGATTGTAGGAATTGTGAAAGAGGTTGGTTCTGGGGTTCAGCGGTTTAAAGTTGGCGACCCTGTGGGAGTTGGAACTTATGTTAACTCTTGCAGGGAGTGTGAGTATTGTAACGAAGGATTAGAAGTTCGGTGTTCAAAGGGATCTGTTTTTAGTTTTGATGGCATCGATGTAGATGGTACAATCACCAAGGGAGGATACTCTAGTTACATTGTTGTTCATGAAAGGTGAATTCTTTTCCACAGAGCTAGAATTGAGAAAGTCGTGATAGTGTACTTGATATGCTGGATATCGACAAAAGCTAGCGAGGCAACAAGAGATTTGTTCCTTAGAATAAGAAGAAAGTGAGCGTGCGGCAAGCCCCTTTTTTGGAACTCAATAACATAAGTGTATTTCGCAACATCACAAAAAAAAAAAAAAAAAAGACTTTTTGGTCCACTAGTCCTTAAACGCCTGCAACTTAGCATAGAAAACCCATGCAATGAGGTCAGGCCTGTTTTGCGCTTCATCGACATGCTGCAGAAGGCTCCTGATTTCTGGCCAATTAGGATTACATGTAATTGTTAAGAAGAGATCAGGTTTGTACAAGACACATTGCATCCGACTCCGCATATCCCTAGGGCCTCCAATGAACGAAGACGGCAAAATAACTCTGCGACCAACATCAATTCCAAAAACAACACCAACACCAACATTGTCCACAAGGCCCTGATAGTTATCAGCCCGGCAAAATTGTTGTTTCTGCCTGAAGTAATCCAGTCGCTGTGTCTCAACTTTAATTTAATCTAAATTTCAACAATAAATTGTTGGAATAGCTGCCCGCTATGGAGCAATATAGATCTGTCTCCTTAGCGTATTTGAAATTTATAAGCGTAGTATTCTCTGCAGGACACACTCTGCCACTTACACCCTTCACGAAAGACCGCATCCTCTGCCCTAATCAATTCATCGGCAGTCGTTAGGTCAGCAGCAACAATAGAGACCGAGTTTGTATAGCCAACGGGTTGCACATGAGATGACCGTCTAATTTTCTGAATACCCTCATGCAATCCCACATCACCAAGGGGAAACAATAGCAGATATTGTAAAGGATCATAACAGCCATAATAGTATTGAATATTTTGACTGCGGCCACAACGGGCATATACGCGAATACGCCTATTTTCACGAATGCCATCAAACTCTTCAATCCAGACAGCTGCGACCTGCGAAGTTGTTGGGGTATTATAAACTCTCTGATCAAGTGAAGGTGAGGAGTTCAAACAAATACTGAACTCATCAGAATGGACCACATCCTTTAGGCTCCTAAAAAAACGTGCATACGGATTGCAATCCAAGAGTGCGACCAAATTCTTGACAGTGATTTCATTTAGGCGTGAACACGACCTCAGTGTTTTTTCAATTTCATGATCCGTATCAAAAAAATACAATTGAAGATTACGCGGAGGGCAACCATCAGGCAACACGTCATCAATAAAATGATACATCTGACCCTGATCTTTAAAAGTATAAACGCCCTTATTACGCTTGCACAAGTTCGGGCCAGTCTTATGTATGACAAGAGACGTGAACGCAAATGTATTATTGTATGTCCTAACAGATGCCCTGAAATTCCTGGCCTCATCATCATTTGCAGTATACATCTGCCTTAATAAGTTTGGCATCTCATTTGACACAAGGCCAACTTCACCTTTGCAACAGCAGAACTGAGGTTGTTCATAAGGCATACGAATTGCACCACAATAGCTATAATCAGGTACACGCAGCAAAGTCATAGATTCAGCTGCATCGCAGTCCCAGTGGATAAAGAAGTCCAACAAACAGAAAACGAAATCCTAGTCGTACAAAAAGGAATGTATAAAGGAGCGTAATCAAATAAATGAATAAATGTCCGTGGTTGAAATTGTTAGAAATATGTGCATTTATAAGCAAAGAATATAATTAAATGGATTTGTGTGAGTCAACATTCACAAAAAGAAAAAACATTCCAGTAACAACAAGGCATTCCAGATCGCGAACACAAGAAACATAACAAAAGAAGCAAAATAAAAAAAAATAAAAAAAAAATAAAAAAAAAAAGGTCAGTTGTAGCACCATAAAAGAATCAAACAATAACCAGCTAATTTCCCAAAAAAAAAAGAATATGATTGTGCACCTGTGTTATGTTCATTACACACAGAAGTTGATGCTTGGCCATTTGATAGCCCGGCAACAACATCCGGTGGTGGAATAGTATTACGTTCATCAGCAATCAGCCGTTGCCATGCAGTTGCAGTTCGCGTTCTCTTCCGTTCGCGCGCCTCCTCGGCAGTAAAACGCTTTTGACCTTTTGCTTGCGTCTGCATTGTTCAATAAAACTGCAAACACAACCATTTTTTAGCACAACAAAAAGCACAGGAAAACATGAGCATCTAACAACAACAGTTATAACTAAACAAGGGAACATCCAAAAAGGGAACAACATTTCAGTAAATCAGTAAATAAATTGGCCTATTTCTTTTGATTTGTTTGGAAAAAAAAAAACAATACAAATGTAATGTTTTTGTGTATAAAAAATTGTCTAAAAGACACGCATTCCACAACAGCTTATCAAGGTACGCCCAACACTAATGATACGATGAATCTCTGCAGGGCCGACAATTGCAGCCAGCAACGCGCAATGATACCTTTGGTTCTGGGTCAGTTAACGACCGAGACCTTGAACGGACAACGCGTTCATAACAAGTTTCAAAGTCCATATAGTCGTTGTCGCCTTTAGGGGCCTTCAGCATACAACGACACCATCCAAAATGAACCTCTTTATTCACCGACTATATGTTTGATGCCATATGTTTGCGGCGCATATACGCAAGTACACGGTTAATTGATGCCATATATTTGCGGCGCAATTTAGAACCATGCCTAACCGGTAAACAACGCGGCTAAGACAACATAACATAATAATAATAATAATAATAATAATAATAATAATAATAATAATAATAATAATAATAATAATACAAAAAACAGGAAATATATAATACGGAGTGTATATATATATATATATATATATATATATATATATATAATATAATATACTGTAATATATTAGAAAATATAAACCATTTGATGCCGTCTGCATTTCTGCCGCAAAAAACACGAAGCATAAACCGAGGGCGGAAAACAATTCCAGATCAGCAATCTATCCGGTAGAGGACAAAGCGTTAAAGTCAAAAATCGATCGACGCGCAGTCAAAATATAGATAGAAGTTGAAAAGCAACGACAACAAAAGAGAACATAATAACGACAGAAAATACGGCAGTATCAATTCAAATGTATATACCGTAAACGATACCGCACACGATATATATCAGCAAGACGATTGTTTGACGGTGACAAAATGCACGCCCAGGTGCAACTCAGACCAAATGACGAAGACCCAAAGAAAGAACCCAAACAGAAACGCCGGTGAAAATAGAACTCAATCCCACCTAATAAAACAACATAAATAGAAACTACGGTCAAAATATAACTCAATTCCAGCTAATAAAACAACAGAAATACTAATTTAGATTAGATCAGGCACAAGGGGAAAAAATAGCCGATAAAAGACACATCGAACACAGAAGCTGTTTGCGAAACGGCGGCCTGCGTCAGAGCTATCCCACAACAGTCAACACATAAAGAAATAACACATTTATCGTGAGGAATGTCGTTACAACGAAGAGAAGCTGTATTCCAGCAAACACAAAAAGAAACAACAACAGAAACTGTATTCCAACGAACACATAAAGAAACAAAAGATTTCTGGGGAGGATTTTGGGCAAACGGCAAACAACCCGCAGATTACAGACGACGACCTTAAAGCAAAATGAGCTCAGTTGTACATCTCTCCTCATGTCTCGTAAATGATAAATGATAAATGATAAATGGCGAAGCCAGCGCACATCAAACGCAATGATAGTACAACGCGCGACGTGCGTGCGGGGTAAAAGTCGAAAATGGGAAAAAAAGTCTAAACAATAGTCATACATTTCAGAACATTCATTGTTCCTTTCGGCGAACGGGTGGTCAAGAACAGCAGTAGTTCACTTCTACCCCAACCACACGTAGGCAAAACGACACCATTCACAAGGGCATAATAGAGAATTCAAACCGAACAAGCAACGTGGGTGACGAAAGCAAATGTCATCAACAGGCCAACGCCTGCCGGAAACCGATTCATGCGCCGATTCATCGGTAAGGGCAAAAGCGCCAGAGGTTGGGCAACAGTAAGGGCAAAACCGTGATAGTTTTTTGTCGAATACCACAGGGAAAGCACAGAGTACAAGGAAAACCGCCTGAAAATATCATGGGCAAAAATCATTGAGCCTTTATGCGTATTTATAGATTAGTGGAATCTCTGTAGTGGTTTTTGTGGTTTTTTTTACGCCAACAGGAGAGAGAAAGAATGGAGACACAGAAAAAGAAAAAAAGAATTGACCTTTTTACGTAGAAATGGTAATTTCAATATACTCTGTGGATATTCGTCACGCATGAATCATGTTTTTTGAGTGATAGTGAGTGGTGGGTCGAGTGTGGGTCTTAAAAAATTAAACCCATGGTGAGTTAGGTTAGATTTGAATTTTATGTACAAAACTTGCTTAGAACCCATCCAGCAACCCATTATGAATATATATAGAATAAAATCCTTTATATAATAAAGCTATATGGTTTGGAAAATAACTAATGTTACAATTAATGCCACAACATCCTTTATTATAAAAAAAAAAAAAAAAAAAAAAAGCACAACATTTAAAAAATGAATTAATTTCACTTTTGGTCCCACGACTTTTGATGTTCTATCACTTTTGGTGCACAACTTTAAATTTTTTTAATTTTGGTGCCTAACTTTGTTATTTTTATCAGTTTTGGTCCTTTTGGCGAATTTGACAGCGAAATGTTGCTGGATTTTATATTGTTAGACGTAAAATCATCATCCCAAGGCAACATCTTCAATATCTAAACAAAATCATCCTGTAAAATCATATCTATATGTGTTTGATGATGAGAATAATGTGGAAGACGGGCAGAAACCAGACAGATCTATGGGATTTATATTTTCGACCATTGGCAAACTCTTTTTTTCCTCTTAATATGGTTTTTCTTTTGTTTAAATATTGAAGATCTTTCCATGAGATGACGATTTTGCCCCTAAAATATAAAATCCAGATATATTTTACCGTCAATTTGGCTGGAAGGACCAAAACTGATAAAAATAACAAAGTTAGGCACCAAAATTAAAAAAATTTAAAATTGTGCACTAAAAGTGTTAGAACATCAAAAGTCGTGGGACCAAAAGTGAAATTAATTCTTTAAAAAATAATATAGCTATATATTATATAAAAAATATACTTTTAAAAAATAAAATAGCTATATATTATATAATCATATAAAAAATGAGTTCAATTAGAGTTTAAATTTACACATACAAAATTTGAAATTTGCTTTCCAAATGTAATTATCTTAGTTATTATTCGTATTATGAAAATTATAATATAGATGAAGAGAAAATTTCAATTTTGGTCATCTAACTATAGGGGCTTTGTTAATTTTAGCACTTGACTTTCAAAAGTATCAATTTAGTACCTTGACTATGCAATTTTTATCAATTTTGGTCATTCTGGTCAAATTGCCTGCCAAATTTCGTCGAAAAATTTTAACAGTTAAAAGATTAATTCGTCGGAAAAGATGAATTCACCGGAAAAAATACCCTCATTATTTTAACTGTTAAAATTTTCTGGCGAAATTTGACCGGCAATTTGACCAGAGTGACCAAAATTGATAAAAATTGCATAGTCAAGGTACTAAATTGACACTTTTGAAAGTCAGGTGCTGAAATTAACAAAGCCCCTATAGTCATATGACCAAAATTGAAATTTTCTCTATAGATGAAATACGATTAAGAAAAAATTAATGTAATTATGTAACTTCTCTCTATAAGTTTATTTGAATATGCACATAATTAGAGATTATATTAACCATACAAAATTATAATTTTAATATTAATTTTAATTTTAATTGTAATTTTGTATTCTATAAAAATAATAAATACTTGACCAATGGAAGCTCAAAAATATTATTATATTAAATAATTTAAAATATTTTAATTTTTCTATTTTTTATTTATATTTATAATAACATAATTTTTTTCCCGTGCATCGCGCGGGTGAATTACTAGTAAGTACTAGTATGTAATTAATTATAAAAGTTTCTAGAACTTTTAATACGGAGTAACTTTTTACTATTGTTATTTCTAAACTAATAAGTTTATTTAAAAAAACTTAACAATTTAGTTATTATATTATATTTGAATATTTCTATTATTTTATGTTTTAATATAATTAGTGAATTTTATTATATGTAAGTTTTTCTTTTGTATGCTACATAGAGCCAATAACGCCCCCACTGAGACTCGAACTCATAACCTTTCATATAGGAGTCCAATCCGGGTGTCATTAGACCACAAGATATTAGCTATTATATGTAAGTTATTTAAATATTATTTTAAAATTTTTTTAATAAGATAATAAGTGGTGGATAATCGGAGTAGACACCTGCATGCACCTGAAGAAGTGGGAGTGGATTTTGAAAAAGTTCACCCGATGCGAGTCGTGGGCGAGAGCGGATGGAGAAAATATAATATGGGTCGGGTGATGAATGTAGTCCTCTCCAATCTACACCTAATCCAATCCCTATTTTTATGTGCCTAGCATACACGTGCCATGCTTAGCGCGGCAGTACGGTGCTGGAAGGCGTGATTTGCACACGTTTGATGCCTCTCTCTGAAACCCACAAAAAATTTTGATTTATTGAAAATAAAAAATCAAGAAAAAATCATGTTCCTTATCAGTGCAATAGACTAGTTTTTTCTCTATAAAAAAAAAAAAAAGAAAAAAGAAAAAATGCCCTTAGATAAAATACAACTCCAATTCCGTCCAAAATAAATTAAAGTCAACTTATTGATTTATTAAGAATATTCTCATATAGTAATTGTATTCTCATATAGTAATTGTGACTAAAAAATCAACACTCCTCATTGTACTAATTTACCACTGTACATCTGGAACACAGGGATCGTAAATCTCAATCGCAATCCAACGAAACATAATAGGCTGAGGCGTTATCTTCAGTCAACATTCGAACTGAAAGCGGAAACGGGGAGGATCTTGCTGTTCATTTGGTACTGAAACCACCCATCTTTCAAAGCTTCAATCTTTAAATCTATTAATCGCTATTGTTTGACTTGCTTATTTTTATACCCGTGTTTGCTATCGTGTCTATGGTCTATTAGTACTATCAATCAACAAAGATAAAGAATGGCTATGGAATTAGATGGAAAAAAGATTTCAAATAATTTATTTTCTTGTAAGATTATTGATACTATTATATCTAGTACTGTGATTCTTCTTCCCAGAATTTACAAGCATGGCTTCTTCACATTCAACGGACAACTGCCTCGGATGGGCTGCCAGAGATCCGTCCGGAGTTCTCTCTCCTTATAATTTTAGCCGCAGGTACACCACAACCTCTTTCATGAGTCCCTTCAAAGCCCCTTCCCTTCATTTTATCAATCCACCCACTTTGTGAGCATATATAATATATAAACGCAATCCAACTATCAACTAGGCTTTTAGTTGAAATGGAGCACATATTTAATTTGGTATCAAAGTCAAACACATGCCAAAGGGTTTGAATTTCTGCATCACACAATAAAAAAAGAGACTATGGTCTACGTGAGGGGCGTGTTGAGCATATAAACATAAATGTGTAATCCAACTATCAGTTAGGATTTTAGTTGAAATGGAGCACATGCTTCAGTCTGGTATCAAAGTCAACCCTATCCCAAAGGTCATGGATTTGAATTTTTGCGCCACCCAATAAAAAAAGAGACTATCACTCACATGTTGCCCACATGAGGGGTATTGAGCATATAAACATGTGTAATTCAACTATCAGCTTAGGCTTTTAGTTGAGATGAAGCACATGCTAAAATTGTCATGCTATTTTTTGACTGACTAGTCATAATTCTTTTCTGGACTGGTTAATGTTGATAGGGTTGTTGGGAGTGATGATGTTTCACTAGATATTGCATATTGTGGCGTCTGTTATGCTGATGTTATCTGGACAAGGAATATACATGGAACATCCAAGTACCCTTTAGTGCCTGGGTATGATGCCTTTATCATAAATTAATGACAATTTGATGCTCATTTTTTTTAATCTTCCTCTTCTTTTGATTTTATATTTATTTGGTTTTTCTGTTTCCCAGACATGAGATTGTAGGAATTGTGAAAGAAGTTGGTTCTGGGGTTCAGCGGTTTAAAGTTGGCGACCCTGTGGGAGTTGGAACTTATGTTAACTCTTGCAGGGAGTGTGAGTATTGTAATGAAGGATTAGAAGTTCAGTGTTCAAAGGGATCTGTTTTTACTTTTGATGGCATCGATGTAGATGGTACAGTCACCAAGGGAGGATACTCTAGTTACATTGTTGTTCATGAAAGGTGAATTCTTTTCCACAGAGCTAGAATTGAGAAAGTCGTGATAGTGTACTTGAATGCTGGCTATATTTTGTACAGGTATTGCTACAAAATTCCAGAAAATTACCCTCTTGCCTCAGCAGCGCCATTGTTGTGTGCTGGAATTACTGTGTACACACCGATGATGCGACATAACATGAATCAGCCTGGTAAGTCTTTGGGTGTGATTGGACTAGGTGGTCTTGGTCACTTGGCGGTGAAGTTTGGCAAAGCTTTTGGATTGAAAGTAACGGTTTTCAGCACCAGTATATCAAAGAAAGAAGAAGCTCTGAATCTTCTTGGTGCAGACAATTTTGTGATCTCGTCTGATGAAAAACAGATGATGGTAAGACGCTATACGCCTGGAGGATTGTGTGTTTGTGTTGATATATATCTTGCTGAAATGCAACAAAATGAACACGTTGACCTTTCTTCTTATAGGCACTATCTAAATCATTTGACTTCCTGATTAACACGGCATCTGGAGATATCCCATTTGATCTATACTTGTCACTGTTGAAGACCGCTGGTACTCTTGCTTTGGTGGGGTTCCCTAGCGAAGTGAAATTTAGCCCCGGAAGCCTAAACTTGGGTATAAATTATCTAAATGCTCCTCCGCTTAGCTCATTTCACCTTATGCAGCAGCTTGTTATGATTGTGAGTCTAATATTTTGCAGGTATGAAATGCATTGCTGGGAGCATTACTGGCGGAACAAAGCTCACACAAGAATTGCTGGAATTTTGTGCTTCCCGGAAAATTTACCCAGAAATTGACATTATTCCTATTCAGTATGTGAATGAAGCTCTTGAAAGATTAATAAAGAAGGATGTGAAATATCGGTTCGTGATTGACATTGGGGGCTCCCTCAAATAGGGTGGATGTTCATCTTTTTTGTTTTTCCACAACTCCTCAGTTGATGTATGTTTGGGGGTAGTTGCAAAGAAATATGATGGCCCTCCAACGATGCTGATTCTTTGAATTGAAAGTTCCATCTTGTCAAAATTTGTTGAAACATGACAGCCATTAGTTCCATGCTATGAACATTATATTATGGTACTAAATATTCAGTTTATATACTTAGCAACAAATATCAAAATAAATTGTGGTGTTACATTCGGGTTTCAATTTGAGTTTCTACACTGAAAGGCCATGACTTAGAAACGATGACGTCTGTTATTGTCACAATAAGTTTTTCTTTTTTATCAGATTAGCTAGCTATTTGAGTTGATTTAACTCGAAGTCACTATAACAAATAATTTTTTTTGGAGAAAATATCATTTTTAGTCCCTAGACTATAATACATATATCAGTTTTAGTTTTTAGACTATTAAATTTTTAAATTAGGTGTATGATTATTCAATTTGTATCACATTTGATCTTTGACTATTAATATTTTCAAATTATGTGCTTGAGTATTTAATCTGTATCACATTTAGTCCTGTTAAATTTTCCAGCCAACTTTTCAGCCAAGTCACATGTGGTCGGCTAATTTATTTAATTTTTATTTTAAAAATTATTTTAAATAAAAACACTTTAAAATTAAAAAATTAAAAAAAATTAAAAAACGCAGAGAATCGTTGGTTTCACCGACGAACTACGTGGGAAATATGAGTTGAGCCCTCTCCTCGTTTCGCCCGCTGGCCTATTGGGATAGCAGCCTTCGGGCTTTGCCTGCCTTCAGCTCGGCCGGGGAAAGCGATGGTCGGCCTACTATGTGCACCTGTAGGGATTAGTGTGTGAGACCACGATCGGTAGTTCGTTCTGCGTCGCCAGCGGCCTCAACTCAAAGACGCAGGTTGCTCTCTCTGGTTGAGGCTGCTAGGCCTCTATTAGAAAGCGTTGCTTGTTCTTTCGAACAGCTCTTTCGCCGGAATCGATGTTATTGATCAAACCCCTGACCTTTCCACTAAGCTCGTTGACCCAAGACTAAGCGCTTTGAGACGACCTAAGAGAATGAGTGGCGCAACCCCTTCTCCTAAAAAATGTCCAGGGTTTGGGACAGCTTGCGCAATGTCTGGCTTCACTTGCATTGGCCTATCTCTATCCAATGTGAGAGACCAATTGCCTTAGTTATAAGCACTGTTGCAAAAATCGGTCTAGGCGCCCCCAGACCATGGCGATTTCCCTCCTAGGCGCCCGCCTAGGCGACCGGCCGCCTAGGCGTCCGCCTAGCGCCTAACTCGGCCACCTAACGTCTAACTTAGCCGAGTTAACTCGTCCATTTCGGTCGAGTTAACCCGAGCAGCTCGGCCTGACTAATTTTTTATCACTATATATATATATATATATATATATATATATATATATATATATATATATATATATATATATATATATATATATATAATATGACATATATACATCCGTAGACTAGTTTGATACTTTGAATCTTTGGATGATTGAAATATTTGAGTATTTCATATTTGAGTATTTTTAATTTTTAATATTGTTTTGATGTTATGACTTATGAATTATCATTATTTCATTTATTTGGATGTGTTATTTAATTGAATGTTGGAAACAGCATCATTAAAATTGTCAAACTGCAAGTCTACCACTATTTTTTTGGCGCCCGCCTAGATTCCGCCTAGGCCGCTAAGGCGCTAGGCGCTGCTTGGGCGCCCGACTAGCGCCTAGCGCCTACTGCAACCTTGCAGGAAGGCGTTCTCGAGACATAGCTTTCTAAGTTGAATCCAAAATCCCAGCTATTACCTGGTGCGGCTGTAACACCCTTAAATTTTAAAACTTTTAATGCTTATGAAATAAAGGCAATTCTATCATTAAATCCCAAACAGAGAATAACTAAACATAATCATTGGGGTGCTATGCCACATCTGAGCTGGAGGACTCAGATGCACAGGCTAAACTATTCAAACAACAGAAATCCTCAAATCAATGTCTAGTACATCATCATGGCACGCAGGCCGATAAAAGAACTAAACTAGCTAAGTCCACGGGTCCGACTAGCGCGCTCCGGAGCTACTCATCTGTGCCTGAAAGCCAAATATATCTGTTCAGCGAATAATGCTGGTAACCCACTCCAACGCGTTAAGTACAATATAGGTAGATATATATAAGGAAAATCATTTTGAAGCCGGAATACATATATACTTATGAAACTCTAATTTAAAACCGAGGATAGACTCAATCAAGCAAAGGTAGGCACATTCAATTTAATCACACACATAAAGATTCTAGCATGCACCCTAAGGTCACAAGACTATTCCATATCAATCATATCAGTATTCAATCACTATTCTAATCACAATAAATCACGTTCACACATTTGGTGGTGCCGCAGGACCCTTCACGTGCCCATACACGAAATGCCAATGCATATAGCTCTGGCATGACCCCGAAGCACCCTGCCTGTACCGCAGCACAAGGAGATTGATAGCAACCAATCGATGAACCGCAGCTCATTAAATCATAACGTTTGATCGCAACCAAACGGTGGACCGCAGCCCGATGATTATGTATATCTGATCGCAACCAGATTATGGGCCGCAGCCATATATATATATATATATATATATATATATATATATATATATATATATATAATAGCCGATGGTTCTCAACCCATCCAACTGCCTGTATAGCCAATTGATCGCAACCAATTGGGGTATCATGCACAATTAACACATAAGCCAAGCACATGCAACCCACATTGCCACATAACGAGGGGGGATCATTGGGGAACACTTATTAAAATAACCTATGCGTGGCCAACCACATTAAACTACTCGAGACACGCCTAAGGAGCCATGCACCTTCCTCCTAGGCCAATGGGATACCAATTCGACTAGCATGCAATACACACGACTCTTTTATCCTAAGAATGGTACACGATACATCAAACTAGACTCATATACGACAAACGGGGGTACAACGGGACACGGGGAAACATCAAACGGGGAAAAGCACCACCATTCGCACCGGAATACCAACGGGTGCCCGGCGGGTGGAGTGCCACCCGCCAACGCCGAGTCACGAGGCAGCGGGTGCCCGGCGGGCAGTCGCCTGCCCGCCGGCTGCCCGCTGCTAAGAGTGCGTTGGGCAACAGGTAGGTGGTGGGTACCCCTGCCCCCACCTACCCCCACTGATTCCTATGTAATAAAATTGGTCCCGGGATCCCTCGTGGAACGCGGAACCATGTCCAGACACATTTAAACATAAACGACGACACCACGTAATCAAGTAATGGATTAAAACCAAGAACCACACCAAATACATTTTAACATGACTCCTAAACATGCCAAGACTCAACACCCGAACATGAAAAATCCCACCCAAACATACCAAGAATAACACAATACGAAATCCACGTTTTAACCCTAGGGCTCTAGTCATAATTAAAACACAAGATTGTTTATATAATTTATCTTAGAATCAATAACATCAAGATTATCACATAAGCATCAAGATTAACACATAAACATCAGAATCATCTCATAAACATTAAGATTATCTCATAAACACCATATCAATTTCAGGCAAGCTTTATCAAGACGCAAGCACAGAATCACATATCAAAGGAGCCAATGAAGAAGATTATAGCAAGGAAAATAGGTTTTGTTGAGATATGGGTTACCTCTTAGCCTTAATTAGAATCCTTGGCTACTAAGGTTCTTTCTCTAAGATCTCCTCTTCGTGATTTCTCCTACGTTTGGTGATAGGGAATTCTTGGGAAAACTTGTGTGGTGGAATTTCTAGGTGCCTCCTAGGTCATTATATATATTTAATAGTCCTAACTAAGGTCTGAAAGGTAAGGATTCACTTATTCTACTCCTTATAGGACTAAGGTTTTGGTTTAGGGATAAAGGTCCATGATCCATGGTGGACCCCTTCTTAATTAATTAAGGGATTTTAACCTCTTTTAATGGCAAGCAATTAAATAATTAGTCTGGGTTAGAGGCCGTAACACGGGGTGTTATAGCGGCCCCCCACGCTCCTCCTTTGTCTCCGGGAGGTCAAAGGAGATAGCCTAAATTTACGTAATTACCCCTCTCTCAGACGGTTATCTAACAGAAATATAGACGGAGGACCAAAAATGTCCTCGCCACAATAACTCTGTCCATAAAATGGCAAATTTTTTTATAAAGGACTAAAATTGTCCAAGCCACTATAAATTTAGGACTAAAAATGTCTTTTACTCTTTTGATATATATTGCAAAAATCTCCGTCCATGCATGCGCAAGTACTTCACAATTTATGCATTTTGGAGGAAATAATACCTGAACATTGCCGGAAGTCCAGTGATTGAAGAACAAAAGATTATTGTGAACTTGGGTCTTGGCCGGCCAACCGAAAGGCCAATTGTTATGTCGTGAAATCGTGTCCACTTTGTAAGATGGGCACGGTTTTATTATGATATTGTTTGGTAATTTTGGAGTAACGGTGCTGTTAGTAGCACCGTTTTTCTCCACCAATAATTTTTTTTTTTTTTTTTTTTTTTTTTTTTTTTTTTAATTTTGTCAAAACAATTCAGCAAGACATTGTGAATATATAGTTAAAAAATTATGAATATAGAGTTCAGAAATTACGAACATAGAGTGTTATAATTATGAACATCTACTATACTAATAAGAGTCAAAGAGAGTTAGACCTATAATGGGTAGAAAAAATGACAGTCAAATTTTTTAATCAAATGAATGGCTTAGATTGATCAGATTTTAATTTTTCCTTGAGATTTCCTAATTTATCCTTAATTATATGATTATCCGTTAACTTTCTTGTTAATCTTTTCCGTTAATTTCTGTTAGTTCACTGTTAACTTATTAATTTCAATAAGAAAGGTCTTAGGTTCGAACCCCATCCCAATCAAAGTTGGCATAATTAGTACTCTATTTTACTCTGATTAAATTAAATAATAATTCAGTAGCTACAACAAAAAATAATACATATGCATTTCTTCAATTTAGAATATGTGTCTACAATGCCTTTATTTAAAAAAAATTATTCATTATCAATAAATTAAATAAGAGAAAATAATTTCATTAGTTATATTCTCTTTATTTTTCTCCAATATAAAAATTTTTTACATTCAAATTCATCAATTGATTATATTCGCTACATTGTCCCTATAATGTCTTTATTCAAAAAAAATTATTCATTATCAA